AATGGACAGCAACATTCCAAGATACATTTGTTTGTTCTTCTGGTAATCCATTTTGTGGCTATTAAGTCAGGAACCAACTCATGGCTGATTCTGCAGTAGTTTTCAAAGATAGTAAATCACACAACAGAGTGCCCATCTTTCTCCTGCAGAGCACTGGAGGATTTGAACCACATGCCTTTGAGACAGCAGCGCAACACCTTACAGCTAAACCAGTACTTGGATAGTCACAGTATAGTTAATATTCTTTGCCAATACCGCAATAAAAAGATATCAATTCTTCAGTCTTCCTTACTTACTGCCAACTTCACGTACCTATGAAGCAAGCGAAAATACGATGCCTTAGGTAAAGCGCACTTTTAATCTTAAATCTTTGTTCTTTAGCACTTTAAAGAGATCGCTGGTAGCAAATCTGTTCAATGAAATACATTGTTTGCCTGTTGCACCAATGGGTACTGATTATGTCTAATCCAGTAAAATGAAATCCATGACAACACCAATCTCTTCCTCCACCTTTCATAACGTTGCCAACTGTGTAAGGATTTGGATTTCTTCATGTTGAAGTATAATCCATACTGAAGGCTTTGATCTTCTTCAATAAGCACTTCAAGAACAGACTGGCTAAAAAGACAAATTATCCATAAAATGGAGTAATGCTGTGGTTAGGTGCTATCGAGTCGTGTACAACCCACTGTGACCCTATGAACAACAGATCAAACCCTGTCCTATCCAGTACCTCCTCACTCTTCCTGACATACGAGAGATCCCTGCAACAGTCACTGTCTATCCACCTGGTTGAGGGTCATCCTCTTCTGTGTTGACTCTCTGCCCTTCTGAGCACCACCTCTCTCTTTAAGGAATAGCCCCTCTTAGCAACATGTCCAAAGTAAGTGAGGAGAAGCTTAATCATGTTTGCCTCCAAAGATCATTGTGGCTGGACTTTCTTCAAGATATATTTGTTCTTTTTTGCAGTCTATGGGATGTTCTCTTCTCAGAGTCAGCCACAGTTTGTTGTGATCCACAGTCAAATGCTTTTGCATAATCAATGAAACACAGATACACATTCCTCTGGTACTCTCTGCTTTCTGCCAAGATCCATATAACATTAGCTATAATATCCCTAGCTAGTACCACAACCCCTTCTAAACCCAGTCTAGACTTCTTTCTGGCAGTTCTCTGTTGATGTGCTGTTCCAGGCGATTTTGGATACTCTTCAGCAGAATCTTGCTTGCATGTGATTATTAATGATAATGTTTGATAATTTCCACACACTGTTGGATCTCCTTTCTTAGGAAGGGGAACAAATATAGATCTCTTCCAGTCAGCTGGTCAAGCGGTTGTCCTCCAGATTTTTTGACACCTTGGTAAGCACATGTAGGGAAGCATCTGTTTGTTGAAATATGTCAACTGATATACCGTCAATTCCTGTGGACTTATGTTTTGCCAATTCCTTCAAAGCAGCTTGAACTTCTTCCTTAATCACCATAGGTTATTGCTCATATGTTGTTTCATGAAATTCTTCTGTGTCTGCCAATTCTTTTTGGTACAATGACTATATTTTTCCATGTTCTTTTAATACCTCCTGGGTCAGAACAGAGCAAGAAAATACAGCATGGTTCAAAATTGGGAAGGCTGTATACCAGGGATGTGTCTTATCTCCATACATTTTCAGCCGATATACAGAACAGATTATCCGGGAGGCTGGGCTCTATGAGGAGAAGTGTGGCATCAGGATTGGCTGAAGATCCATCAACAATCTGTGTTATGCCACAACCCTGCTTGCTGAAACTGAGGAGGACTTGAAGCACTTGCTGCAGAGGGTCAAGGACTGCAGCCTTCAATATGGATTGAGGCTCAATATCAAGAAGACAAATATTTACATCATTAGGACAATTGGCAGCATCAGGATGGATGGTGAAGAGATTGAGATTGTTAACAACTTTAGTCTGCTTGGCTCCACAGTCAACACTCCTGGCACCAGGAAATTAAAAGATGCATAGTGATGAGAAAGTCTGCTGTTAGGGACCTCTCCAAAGTCCTGAAGAACAATGGTGTCACTCTGGAGACTAAGGTGCGCCTGATACAGGCCATGGTCTTTGCAATCATTTGCTATGTATCAGAGAGTTGGACAATGACTAAGGAGGAAAGGAGAACTGATGCCTTTGAGCTGTGATGGTGGAGAAGAGTACTGAATATACTATGGACTGCTAAGAAAACGAACAGGTTCATCCTAGAGAGGGTTAAACCAGACTACTCCTTGGAAACAAGGATTCTGAAGCTTCATCTGACATACTCTGGACATGTTGCAAGGAGGGATCAGTCCTTGGAGAGGCATGTCATGCTTGGGAGGGTGGAGGGACAATGCAGGAGAAGAAGACCCTGTATGAAGTGGATTGATTCAGTGACTGGGGTAATCGAGGTGGGTGTGTCAGACACAGTTAGGTTGGCACAGGATAGAGCACGGTTTAGGGCTGTTGTACACAGGGTCACTTTGGGTTGCAGGCGCCTTGATGGCACATAACAACAACAACAATGGGATGTTCAGTGCTTTTCTCTAACACCACAGTTCAAAGGCATCAATTGTTCTGTAATTCTTATTCACTGTATAGCTCAAAGATGCATAAGAAGTGATCAGAAAGATCATATCCTGAATTAAGTGCATCTTAGTCCTCAAGATGACATCACCACTCCTCAATAGTGGAGTACTAGGCAACTGTTAATGAAAGAGAAGTTCAGTAGTACAAAGCAGCAATGTTGTTGTTGTTGTTATGTGCCATCGAGTCGCCTGCGACTCATAGCGACCCTATGTACAACAGCCCTAAACTCTGCTCTGTCCTGTGCCAATTGCACCGACTCCGACACTCCCATCCCAATTATCCCAGTCACTGAATCAATCCACCTTATAGAGGGCCTTCCTCTCCTGTGCCGTCCCTCCACCCTCCCAAGCATGATGTCCCTCTCTTAAGGACCGGTCTCTCCTCAAAGTATGTTAGATGGAGCCTCAGAATCCTTGCCTCCAAGGAGCCACCCGGTTTAACCCTTTCCAGGACAAATCTGTTTGTTTTCCTAGCAGTCCATGGTACTCTCAATAGTCTTCTCCAGCACCACAGCTCAAAGGCATCAATTCTCCTTCTATCCTCCCTGGTCATTGTCCAACTCTCTGATGCATAACAAGTGATTGCGAAGACCATGGCCTGTATCAGACGCACCTTAGTCTCCAGAGAGAGACCATTTGTCTTCAGTACTTTGGAGAGGTCCCTAACAGCAGACTTTCCCATGGCAATGCGCCTTTTAATTTCCTGGCTGCTGGTGCCAAGACTGTTGACTATGGAGCCAAGCAAACTAAAGCTGTGTACAATCTCAATCTCTTCACCATCCATCCAAGAGCAAGTTGTAAAAAAAAAGTGATCCCACTTTTTAAAAACTATAAGAAAGAAAATATAATCCTGTATTTTATGTGTTTGTGAGTGCAAGTGCAAATTAACAAGGCTTTATATAAAAAACAGTGGTTCCCTTCAACAAATGGATAGAAAAACTATGGTAAATTCACACAGGAGAGTATTACGCAGCATTGAAAAAAAATGAGCTCATAAAAACATTACACAACATGGGGAAGCCATGGGACATTATGCTGAGTGAAATATCTCAGTCACAAATGAACAAATACTTTATCACACTGCTGTTATAAAACAGGGCAGGCAAGGGGGGTTGTAGAAAGAATAAGACAAGAGTGAACTGATAATGACCACTGCATTAGATCAGACAAGGGGAAGAACTGTCCAAAAGGAATATATAATTAGGCATCATTATATGTATAACAAAGATCTGGAACAAGGGATGCACTGTGGGAGGGATGGAGGATGGGAGAGGGAAGGGGAGAAAATGTGCAACAATGGAAAAAAATTAAAACATTCTTTATGTTAAAAAAAACAGTGGTTAACCTTAGGAGAGTTATTACTGAGCTATGTGTGTAACACAAGATTAGAGGGCATGTTATTAATCAGAACATTTTACTTGTGTACTTTTGTGTCATTTGAAAAGTGCTCAAATAGCATATACTGATAAATTAAGATAATGAATAAATGTTCAAAACAAAGAAAATAATTGCAGAAGAGAATTATACACAGAACCTACACATCAGCTAACCAACAGTCCAGTTCTGGCTTCTTTCTATTGCAATCAGCTTTATTATCTTCAGAGAGAAGCAGTGGTATACTTCTTGAAAAGGATATGAAGATGAAAACTCTCAGAGAAAAAGATAAAAGATAAAAGACACTAGAATTTGAAGTGGAAGAATCTCTATCATCTAAACAAACCTGCCATCAAGTCAGAACAGACATAGAATACAGCTGACCGTCGAGCAGGTTTTTAGAGGTTATTAATCATATGGGAGGAGACTGTTCACCTTTCTCCTTCAAAGCAGCTGGTGATCCTCCTGTCTTTAGATTAGCAGTTCCAACTCCTTACCCATAAGACCAGAACTCCGTAAGATATTGTAAATAATACAGAAAATTAGTGCAATAGAGAGATGGGTCATCTCTGTCACTCTAAACAAGCAATCCATTCCAAAAAGGGTAAGACTATCTGGTAGAAAAAGTTAGGAAAAAGACTGTAAAAGAGGCTTAAATATCTATTATTTTTTCAATGACAGTGGGATCATAAATGAAGTACTGCTAATTATTGATAGAGAAGAAGTAACAGAAAACAAAAATCATGGTTAAAGCAAAAATAATTTTCCCTAAAAGACAAACATAGATCAAATATAATCTTACTTCATTAATATTTAGGTTGTGGTTTAGAATCCACTTTCTATTTGATAAAACAATGAATGTGTATCTTGAGAATTAAATCATCAAATAGATTGTTTTAGAACTATGCCCAGTGGCTATGTCCTGTTAAAATAAAAATGAAGTTAACATCCAACTCACAACACTAACAACACAATTGGCAAATAACTCCACAGGATCCTAACTTAACCTCAAAGAAACTGAATGAACACTTACAGGCCACTGCTCCTCCGTTGGTGTGCCTAAAGTTTCAAATATTCTTGTTAGCTGATCAAGGTCTGAATCTCCTGGCAAAAAAGGAACCTACAAGAAAGCAATCATCATTCAATTCATGGTAGTTTGTGATAGCTTTTACATATATATTTTACTGCCAATTTATTTAACTACCTATGTATTAAAAAAGCTAACAATCTGTTGGAAATATTAAATTACTTTTGTTGTTAAGTGCCATCAAGTTAGAGCAGACATATAGCTGCCCCTCTACCAGGTTTTCAGAGGCTGTAAGACACACAGGAGAATGCGCATCATTCTCCTACCCAGCAGCTGACGGATTTGAACCATTTGAATTGGGATTGTCAGCACAACCCCTTACCATTAAGCAACCAGAGCTCAAACTAATTATTTGGTCTTAAGTACAATGTACTAGTCACTCCATGGGAGAAAAGTAAGATACTCTTCAATAAAGATTCATACTATTGGAAATCTTGTGGGATAGTTCTACTCTGTCCTATATGGTCGCTATGAGGAAGAAAATTTTCCAACCCACTGATAGTGAACTATGATTCCACTGGGTCTTTGAGGCTGTCAATTGTTACGGGAAGTTGTTGTTGTTAGGTGCCGCTGAGCCTAGCACCACCCAAAGTGACCTGATGAACAACAACAGATCTGAACCCTATCCTGTGCCATCCTCAACAGTTCCTGACACACTACAGTCCACTGTGGCAGTCACCATGTCAACATCTGGTTAAGGGTTTTCCTTTCTTTTGCCAACCCTCTGTCCTTCCTGGCGTCCTGTCCCTCTCCATGGACTAGCTTATTGTAGCAACAAGCCTGAAGTATGTGCGGTGAAGTATTATCATCTTTGCCTCCAAAGAATACTGTGGCTGCACTTTCTCCAAGACAGATTTGGTTTTTTGGCCGTCCATGGAATGTTCAGTGTTCTCTAACATCACAGCTCAAAGGCATCAATTCTTCTGTCATTCTTATTCACTGTCTAGTTCTCAGATACATAACAAGTGATCAGAAAGAGCATGGACTGAATCAGACCTTAGTCCTCGAGCTGACATCATCACACCTCAATAATTTAGACAGGTCTCTGTAGACTTTACCTTCCCAGTAAAATAAGTCTGATTTCTTGACTGCTGATAACAACGGTGTTGACTGTGGATCCAAGTTATATAAAGTTACTGACAATTTTGTTCTTTTCTCCATCATGCTGTTGCCTATCATTCCAGTAGTAAAAGTATTTGGTTTTTTTACGTTGAGATACAATCTATATCGAAGGCTGTATTCTTTGCTCTTCTGCAACAAGTGCTTCAAGTTCTCCTCACTTTCAACAAGCAAGGTTGTGTCATCTGTATAATACAGGCTATTGATGAGTATGCCTCTGATCCTGACAGTCCTTTGCATAGAGTCCAGCTTCTCAAGAATGAGAATCCCAGAACATTTGATAGTGCTTATGTGAAACCTATACTTGGACCAGGAGATTCCATCAGAACAATGCAAGGAAACATTGCACAGTTCAAAATTGCTAAGGGTATACACCAGGGATGTGTCCCATCTCTATACCTCCTTAATCTATATGCAGAAAGGATTATCCAGGAGGCTGAGTTATGAGGAGAAATGTGGCAACAGGATTGGAGGAAGACTCATCAATAATACGCATTATGCAGATGACACAACTTTGCTTGCTGAAACTCAGGAGGACCTGAAGTGCTTACTGTAGAAGGTCAAGGACTGCAGCCTTCAATATGGATTGAAGCTCAACATCAAGAAAATAAAGATTCTCACCACTGGGCAGAATCATGACAGATGATGGAGAGATTGAGACTGCTAACAGCTTCAGTTTGCCTGGCCCCACAATTAACACTCTTGATACCAGCAGCAAGGGAATTAAATGACAAATTGCATTGGGAAAGTCTGCTGTCAAGAGACCTCTCCAAAGTATGGAAGAGCAACGATGTCAGTCTGGAGACTAACGTGCACCTGATTCAGGCCATGGTCATAGCAATTATTTGCTATGTGTTAGAAGCTGGACAATGACTAGGAATAACAGAAGGAGAATTGATTTTTTGAGCTGTGGTGCTGGAGAAGAATACTGAATATACCATGGAAGGCTAGGAGAACAGACAGATTCGTCTTAGAGAAGGTAAAACCAGGATGCTCCTTGGAAACAAATTCTAAAGCTTCATCTGACATACTTCCGCACATTGCAAGGCAGGGCCAGTCTTTCAAGAGGGACATCATGCTTGGGAGGATGGAGGGACACATAAGAAACTTAGATCCTTGATGAGATGTATTGCTTCAGTGACTGGAGTAATGGGGATAGGTGTGTCAGAGACAATAAGATTAAAACAGGATAGAGCAGTGTACAGGGCTGTTGTACACAGGGTTACTGTGAGTCGCAAGTGACTCAACAGCACATAACAACAACATACAGATTGAATATATATGGAGAGAGCAAATAACCCTTATGCTCTCCGTTCCTAATTTTAAACCATGTAGTGTTCCCTTGCTCTGTTCACACAAAACGCTCGTGGTCTAGGTGTATGTTTCCTACGAGTACAATTAAATGCTCTGGGATTCCCATTCTTCTCAGTGTTAGCCATAACTTGTTATGCTCCACAGTCATATGCTTTTGCATAGTAAATAAAACATAAATAGACATTCTTCTGGTATTCTTTACTTTCATCCAGGATTCATCTGGCATCAGCAATGATATCCCTGATGCCATGGCCTATTCTAAGTCCTGCTTGAACTGCCAGTTTCCTATCTATGTATTATCCTAGCTGTTTTTTAATAATGTTTAGCAGTATTTTGCTTGCATGTGGTATTAATGATATTGTTGGATAGTTTCCACATTTTGGAGGATGACCTTTCTTGGGAATGGGAACAAATACAGGCCTCTTCCAATTTGGTGACCAAACAGCTGTTCTTCAAATTTCCTAGCACAGACTGGTGAGCACTTTTGGGATACATCATTTTTCACTTTTTAATTTTTAAAAAAAAATATTGAGTATTATACTTATTTACAAAGATCAAATATACTATTTTTCACAAAAAATCCTTTCCATTTCCTTCACCCCACCCACCCATTGAATCATGAAACCCAATGATTAACATCCCACACCCCAGGATACATCTATTAATTGAAAAAGTCAACTGACATCCCATCCATTCTGGGGCTGTATTTTTTGCCAATGATTTCAACACAGCTTCAACTTCCTCCTTCATTATCTCTGGCTCCTGCTCATCCTGAAATTTTTCACTGTAAATCAGTTCTTTTTGGTAGAGTGACTATATATATTCCGTCCATTTTCTTTTGATGCTGAGTCATTCAATACATTATATTGTCCATAGAATTTTCAATACTGTGACTCAAGGCTTAAATTTGTTTTTCAGTTCTCTCAGCTTGAGAAATAGAGATGGAGTTCTTCACTTTGGAATCTCCAATTCTATCTCTCTGCACATTCCATTATAATACTTTTGCTTTGTCTACTCAAGCTGTCCTTTGAAATATTCTATTCAGCTCTTTTACTTCAATATGTTTTCCCTTTGTTTTGGCTTCTCAATGCTCTAGTTCAATTTTTAGAGTCTCTTCTGACATCTATTTCAGTTTTTTCTTTCTCCTCTGTCTCTGTAATGACCTTCTGCTCTCTAAATGGATAATACCCTTAATATCATCTCACATCTCATCCTATATACCTCCCTCAAACTACCTTTTGGATTCATATTGCTAACCTTCTGATCAGTAGATCAACATGCAGAGCAAACCAGGGCCACAATGAGTCAGAATCAACACAACAACAGTTGTGGGTGTATTAGGTTTATATGAATACAGCACAATGTTTTCTTATATGTTACTATTTACAGATATTTGGGTTCTTTCCAACTGGGATTACTATGATTAACAACAGAAAAGACTAAAGTGATTTGCTTTACTTGATAATAACCTTTGTTGAATTATAAAAAATCTTTGTCATGTTTGAGAAGGAACTAGGTCCAAGTGACACAGAAGAATATTTTCCATCCTAAATATGAGTAATTCTTTCTCATTTTCAATCAGTAAATTGAATGGTTATGTTGAACAATATGCATAGCTTGAAAGGCAGCTTTTCTACAATCTCACTTAATCAGCTAGTAGGCTCACTAAACTCTATTTGAAATCAAATATGGTAGTGGACCGTTCTGCTTTAGTTAATACAAGTGAAACATTAAATTAACAGCCACAAATTGCTGCAGACTCTAGAAAAGGAATTGCTTATGCTTGGTTTTTTCCCTCCCCTTCTACCATCTCTTAGAAGTCTAAAGATGATGAGAATTCCCTGAAATCTGTTACTAAGCATATGGTGGAAAACGCTTTCTTTTGGGAAAAAAACCCAATCATTCCATAAGAGAACAGAGGTGGTGAGAAGGGAATCCTTACATAATTTATGAGAACAAATACTTGAGTCAATATTGATGTATGCATACTGGTTTAGAACTTACCCTTAGAAGCAACTCTGCTAATATACAACCAACAGCCCACATGTCCACGCCCACACCATACATCCTAGCTCCAAACAGTAACTCAGGAGCACGATACCACCTGAAAAAGAACAATAACAAAAACTCGTGTTTGTAGTTTGTTTGGATGAGTGTTACTGAATCTTATAGATCTGTTTAGGATTTAGCTGCAAGCTAAGCCACAGAAATTAAAAAATCTGGTATTGTGGAATAAAATTATTTAAGAATTTCTTAGAGAAAACTCCTTAACAAAATATCATTCCAATGATCCTTATAGGACTGAGTTAGTTCACTCAGCATAATGCTCTCCAGTCCCTCCAAAGTTAGGTAATAATTTACAAAGTTATTGTACCTGAATGCTGTATAGTATTCCATTGTGTAACGGTACCATCATTTCTCAATCCATTAGTTTGTGGTTGGACATTTGGGTTGTTTCCATGTTCTTACAATGGTGCATAATGCTGCTATGAACACTGGTATACAAATCTCAGTTTGTACCTCAGTTCTCATATTCTCAGGGTACATTCCAAGTAGTAGAATAGTTGGGTCATACGGAATTTCTGTGTTCAGCTTTTTGAGAAACTGCCAAACTGCCTTCCAGAATGGTTTAGTGTAGTACTCGACTGTGTTATCTATCAGATATTTTTCTAACCATTTTTCCTTAGAGAGATACTCTGGGGGTGTCCATCTATCTGTTCGCATCAGCACTCTTACTTTTTTTTTTCTTTCAGTGAGCAAGGTTGTTTCAAGCACTCATTTCTTTAGGATAAAGATCTAATAGTAAGCTGGCAAAATGAAATGGTATCTCCATTATCAACTTCTGAAGGAAGCACTAAACTGCTTTCCAGAGTGGCTGCACCATTTTATATTCCCATCAGCAATGTAGGAGAGTTCAAATCTCTCCACAGCTGACTTGATCAGCATTTGTTGTTTGCTGTCATACTAATCATCACTACTGTTTTTCTGAAAATCCACTGGCAGATCCATCTATGAGTTGTGCTGATTTGACAGCACATTGTTGCTGGGGTGTGATGTTATATCACAGTTGTTTTGATGTGCATGTAATAGCTAATGCACCTGAGCATTTCTTCATGTGTTTGCTGTCCACTTGAATGTCTTCACTGATGAACTGCCTTTTCATGTTCTCTATTTTTAATTGGATTATTTGCCTTTTGCTTGTTGAGACCTGACACTTTGCATAAATTTTAGAGAAAAGTCACTTATCTCTGTGTCATTGCCAAATATTTTTTCCTACTCTGCAGATTCTTTTTTAACTCTTTTGAAGAAGTCTTTCGACACATATTTACTTCTTAGAGGGCACCAACTGTCTAGCTAATCCTCCATTGTCTATTTTTGCTTCTATCTGACAGAGTGGAACAGTTCTCCAAAGTTCGCTCTATTTCTTTGATAATTTTTACAGATTTAGGTTTTACTCCAAGGTCCTTGATTCATCTTTACTTCTTGTTTTAAGGTGTGAAGTATGGGTATTGCTTCAATTTTCTGAAAACAGATATCTCGCTTTGATAACACCATTGTTAAAGAGGCTGTCTTTTCCGCTGCAATCCCAGAAGTACGTGGTTCAAATCCACCAGATGCTCTGCTGGAGAAGGAGGGGGCAATCTCCTCCTGTACCAGTCAGTTCTGATTTGACAGTACACGTAAAAATAATACAATAAAAAAAAAACTAAAAAAAGACTGTCTTTTCTCCACTTAATGGATTCCATTTCTTTGTCAAAGATCAGCTGTTCACATATGTTGTTGTTACATGGCACTGAGTTGCTTGCAAGTCATAGTGACCCTCTGGACAATAGCCCTAAACCTTGCTCTATATACTGTGCCAATCTTGTCTCTGACACAACTACCTCCATTATCTCAGTCACTGAATCAATCAAACTCATCAAGACTCTTCCTCTCTTGTGTTGTCCCTCCACCCTCCCAAGTATGATGTCCCTCTCCAAGGACTGGTCCCTCCTTGCAACATGTCCAAAATATGTCAGATAAAGTTTTAGAATCCTTGTCTCCAAGGAATAGCCTGATTTCTAGGACCAACCTGTTTGTTGTGTTTGTTTAGCCATCTAAGGAATATTCAATACTCGTTTCCAACACCAAAGCTCAAAGGCATCAATTCTCCTTCTATCATCCCTAGTCAATGTCCAGCTCTCTAATGCATTAGAAGTGATTACAAAGACTATGGTGTGGATCATGATGCAGAACAAGAAATTGTAAAGATTATGGGCTGGTTCATATGCACCTTAGTCTCTAGACTGACATCATTGCTTTTCAGTACTCTGGAAAGTTCGCGGACATAAGGTTTACCTAATGCAATTTGCCTTTTGATTTCCTGACTGTTGGCGGCAAGACTGTTGACTGTAGAGTCACGCAAGTTGTAACTGATAACCACCTCAATCTCTGTTCCACCCAAAACAATACTACCAATTGGGCCATTGGTGAAAATCTTTGTATCTTGATACTGAGCTTTAATCCATAGTGAAGAATACAGTCTTTGACCTTCTGTAGCAAGCACTTCAAGTCTGCCTCAGTTTCAGCAAACAAGGTTGTGTAATCTGCATAACTTAAGTTGTTGATGAATCTTCCTCCAATCCTGATGCCACATTCCTCCTCATAAAGCTAGACTCCTGAATGATCTGTTCTGTGTATAGTTTGAAAAAGTATGGAGACAGGATGTATTTCTGACACACTTCCTTCCTGAATTTGAACCATGCAGTGTTTCCTTGCTCTGTTCTGAGAACTGCTTTCTGGTCCAAGTATCAGTATCGCATAAGCATAGTCAAGTGTTCTAGGATTCTCATTCTCTTCAAGGTTAACAAGTTTGCTGTGATCCACACAGTCGAATGCCCTTGCATGAACAATGAAACACACATATATATCCCTCTGGTACTCTTTGCTTTCTGTCAAGATCCATCTGACATTGGTGATAATGTCTCTAGTGCTACGGCCTCTTCTAAACCCAGCTTGTATTTCTGGTAGTTCTCTGTCAACATACTGTTGCAGCTGTTTCTGGATAATCCTCAGCAAGATTTTGTGTCTGATACTGTATGATAATTTCCACACAGACAGATGGATTTTATTGAGTTCTGAATTCTATTCCAATGAGTATAGAGTAGATTTGTATGTACTCAGATCTCTGTTTTCACAAATTGCTTGCTGAATGGTAAACTATGTATTTCCAAAATTACATATACTCCTCTTCACATGTCCAACCTACACTGAGGAGTAACATCCTGAAATAACAACTACTGGGAGGGTGACAAAGTAATCTAAAAGAAAGAGGACTTCAAAGGTCTTCTAAGCTCTTAAAAAGTCTTAGCAAATAATTTATTGTGGTAAGTCAGGTGTTCAAACAAATTTTAAACCAAATGTTTAATCAGAAACTGAAGAAGCCACAAAACAAGGCATTGTTTCTTGAGAGAGATCACAAGACATAGGTGTTCAGGCAGGCCTGAGGCATCCTGCTATTCTCAACCTTTTGCTCATTTAGCCACACTGTTCCTGAGATAAGCATTAGAAGGTCAGCAAGAAAAACACAACCAGTTAGTAGAGAATTTTCTCTGTGACTTATCACCTGGCAATTTTGAATAAATGCAAAAGAGACTCTAAATTTGGGGCTGCAGTCTTGGAGCTGTAAGCCCCCTGCCTTTACTCTCTTTTCTCCCCCTCATTTCTCTGTGTCCCCATCTTGTTCATCCACTCCGGGAGACAACAAATTATCTTATTTTGAAAAGAACTGTAACATTTATTTCCCTAAGAATGGCAACTCCAGTATAGTTAATTATGCTCACGTAGAACATGTACATGAACCAATTATCAATCATTTAAACTGAGCAAGGAGATAGTTCACGGTTTAAAATGAACAAAGATATATATCAGGGTTGTGTCCTTTCATCACATCTACTAACATATCTGTTGAGAAATAATGAGAAGGAGACCGTGAAGAATGTGGCACCAGAAATGAAGATGATGCCTCAACAACCTGTGTTATGCAGATAAAACCTTGCTTGAGAAAAATGAAGAAGATCCAAAGGATTTACTGCAGAAAATCAAACGTGGTGGTGGTTGTTAAATGCCATCCAGTCAACTACGACTCACAGCAACCCTACGAACAGAAGATTTGAACTTTTTTGTATCCTGCACCGTCCTCATGATCTCAAGCCCACTGTGGTAATCACCGTGTCAATTCATTCTTTGGAGGGTCTGTCTCTAAGCATCCACTTTTCTCAGCATGATGTTTCTCTCCAAGGACTGCTTCCTTCCAAGAATATGCCCCAAATAAGTAAGACAAAGTTTCATCCTCCTTGCCTCTAAGGAGTACTGGTTGCACTTCCTTCAAGACAGATTTGTTTGTTCATTTGGCAGTTCTTGGTACATTCAAGATTCTTCGCCAACAGCACAATTAAAAGCCATCAATTCTTCTTGGTCTTCTTTATTCATTACCCAACTCTCAGATGTACAGGAAATGAAATCATGACTTGGACTAGGTGCACTTAGTCTATAAACTGAAATTTCTGACCTATGAAACTTGGAGAAGTCCTTGACAGCTTATTTCCCCAATGTAACATGTCTTTTGATTTCTTGACTGTCTCTATCATGGGTACTGATTGTGGATCCAAGTAAAATTAAATTCTTGACAACTTCAATCTTTTCTCCATTTATTGGTCCAATGGTGAGAATTTTTGTTTTCTTGATGTTTGAGGTGTAATCCATATTGAAAGGAGTATGTAGTCTTTGGTCTTCTGCATTAAGTGCTTTAGGTCTTCTTCACTTTTGGCAAGCAGAGTAGTTTCATCTGCATAATGCAGTTGTTGATTAGTCTTCCTCCAGTTCTGATCATACCTTCTTCTTCATAAAGTCCAGTTTCAAGAATGATTTGTTAAGCATAAGGACTGAGTAAGTATGGAGAAAGGATACAACCATGACATATACCTTTCCTGATTTTAAACTATGCAGTATTAGTATTCCCTTGTTCTCCTTAAACAATTGCTTCCTGGCCTATGTAGAGGTTTGGAATGAGCACAATTAAGTGTTTTGTGATTCTTCTTCTTTTCAGTGTTAGCCATAATTATT